ATTGTAGACCTACACAAGGCTGGAATGGGCTACAAGACCATTGCCAAGCAGCTTGGTGAAAAGGTGACAACAGTTGGTGCGATTATTCGCAAATGGAAGAAACACAAAAGAACTGTCAATGTCCCTTGACCTGGGGCTCCATGCAAGATCTCACCTCGTGGGGTTGCAATGATCATGAGAACGGTGAGGAATCAGCCCAGAACTACACAAGAGGATATTGTCAATGATCTCAAGGCAGCTGGGACCATAGTTACCAGGAAAACAATTGGTAACACACTACGCCGTGAAGGACTGAAATCCTGCAGCGCCCGCAAGGTCCCCCTGCTCAAGAAAGCACATATACATGCCCGTCTGAAGTTTGCCAATGAACATCTGAATGATTCAGAGGACAACTTGTGTGAAAGTGTTGTGGTCAGATGAGACCAAAATGGAGCTCTTTGGCATCAACTCAACTCGCCGTGTTTGGAGGAGGAGGAATGCTGCCTATGACCCCAAGAACACCATCCCCACCGTCAAACATGGAGGTGGAAACATTATGCTTTGGGGGTGTTTTTCTGCTAAGGGGGCAGGACAACTTCACCGCATCAAAGGGACGATGGACGGGGCCATGTACCGTCAAATCTTGGGTGAGAACCTCCTTCCCTCAGCCAGGGCATTGAAAATGGGTCGTGGATGGGTATTCCAGCATGATAATGACCCAAAACACACGGCCAAGGCAACAAAGGAGTGGCTCAAGAAGAAGCACATTAAGGTCCTGGAGTGGCCTAGCCAGTCTCCAGACCTTAATCCCATAGAAAATCTGTGGAGGGAGCTGAATGTTCGAGTTGCCAAACGTCAGCCTCGAAACCTTAATGACTTGGAGAAGATCTGCAAAGAGGAGTGGGACAAAATCCCTCCTGAGATGTGTGCAAACCTGGTGGCCAATTACAAGAAACGTCTGACCTCTGTGATTGCCAACAAGGGTTTTGCCACCAAGTACTAAGTCATGTTTTGCAGAGGGGTCAAATAATTATTTCCCTCATTAAAATGCAAATCAATTTATAAAATTTTTAACATGCACTTTTCTGGATTTTTTTGTTGTTATTCTGTCTCTCAATGTTCAAATAAACCTACCATCAAAATTATAGACTGATCATTTATATGTCAGTGGGAAAACGTACAAAATCAGCAGGGGATCAAATACTTTTTTCCCTCACTGTACCCAGGTTAGATGAGAGATGGGGAATTGAATAAAAGATTTGTAATCATAACACAAAGCGGCACAAAGAAAAACATCCTTACAAGCCAAGGATGCACCTACGGAGTTGGCCTGCACGGTTGTACAACCCAGGCTTTGAAGCCATTTCTCTTCTACTGCCAGGACTGTGGGCGGCCTCAGATAATGAACGGGCACAGTTATTCAAATATATTTGACGATAATAGTCCATTGGGATTTTCACAGCGCTTCAACTACGAATGTCGATGCCAATGTACGAACTGAGGTGAGGTCGAGACGCAGAAAACTGCTCGCTTAGCTATCATCAGGAGACATCAGAGCCTCAGACTGCTGCGTATTACCGGAGGTGTTTGATGTCGTCTCCTTGTGCCTGTGAAGACATGGGCCCAGAGCCAACAGACCGAACAAAACTAATCGCTTGCAAATAAGATTTGGGTCCAGATGGACAACGACGTTCATCGCGTACTCTAAAGTGTCAGACCTTAAGCTCTGAATTATCAATTACAAATTGGAGGTAATTGTTTAACAATTTGTTCCCCGAATTTGATTGGTAAGCTCCCTTCTCTTCCCCGCAACTCGTGTCCCTTTCATTTTATGCAATTGGCAAGCTTTCAAAAAGGCCTTTTCGACAATTTTCCCCCCGCATGATATCTGCCAGAAGCTACACATCTTTTGTCACGTAACCAACCCGGCCACGCTACAGAGAGATAAAGAGAGCACAAAACAACGAAGACTCACAAAAGGAAAGAGTCTTAGCAGCATTTAAATGGGCGGAGGGCTTTTTTTCGCCATTGTACACGAGATTGAATATTTCCCCTCTAGCATGTGGTGGGGGCGCTCGACAAAATGTTCACGGTGTTACAATTAGGATTATATTAAAAAACTTTTGGGAAGGTCTTCAAAATAATATCTGGTCATGATAAATGGTTATGTTTAATAGCGAGGGTAACCATGCATTAATTCATCTACGAATATTGATTCATAACGCTCACGATACATGCAATGAATCGCGCGTAAAACCCCATGTTTTCCCCAAATTACACTCTGTGCAAATTATACAATGATGTTACATCGGGGCTGTTCGAGTGAACGAAACTAACTGTACAGGCGAGATGCGCAAAAATTAAAGAGATGCAAAAGATAAATGGTATCAATGATATATTTTAAATATATATGAGAGTTGAATTTCCTCCCCTGAATTGTGATAATTCAACAAAGCCGTCAGGAATGGTCAGGAAGGTGCAAATCGTTACTGCACGAACATTCAAGGTTTCACTCCGATTGGTAGTGATCAGTGAGCCGACAGCCGCACCCACCCCCCCCCCCCCCCCCCAATGTGTAAAGCCCCGGTGGATACATCCCCACGCCCACGTCATGGAAGGCAACAACGCAACAACAAAGCAAAGAAAATAAGGAAATTAAAACGCTGCCGCAAAAATTAATAATGTATGCAACGGCTCGAAACCAGCAGTACGTAATGACACAGAGGAGATTTAGCATCTAATCAAAAAATAATTATTGCATGAGCGCTGTTAGTCACACGGAGGTTCTACCTCTTACAGTGGGACACCATCCTGTTTTGCAGTCACCGCTAAACAAACAACATGATGACGATGTCTACCCATAGCACCCTCACATGGCACCAAACGCTTTCGTGGGAGTCTCACGCATTGAGATGAGGCAGTGGGGAAATCCGGAGGGAGGTGGGGGGTGATGTGGGCAGTCTATCTCCCAACCCCCCCCTACACCCCAAACATGTGTATTTTACCGATGTTCACCAGAGGATATACATTGGATGTAGTCTTATGAATGATGGGCTCTATTTAAAAAGCTTGATATTTTGGAACGGGCCCCTATCCCTCCGGGAACTTTCTAGATGTGCCGCCTCTGGGGTGTTGGGCCAGTTACTTTTTTGGTGGTGGTTTTTTTCCTTCATGCGTGGGGTGAAACTGGAGCACGTGGAAAAAAGCGCGTGCACATATAGCGGAACCTACTCAAAGGTCTGATCCAAGTTGGGGGGCGGGGGGGGTTCACAAATCCACTTGCTGCATTGCCAGTCTACTGGTCACCAAACGACCCTTTGGGAGATCGAGTATGACCATGCTAAGCAATCAAACCGAGCAAAACATGAAGGAAAGCCCACAACGGTCAACACAGAGTGTGTGTGCGAGTTTGTTTTTAAAGCATTACAGAAATTGTGTTTTATTATTACTTGGTCGCAATGCTTTCACAAATGCATTTCCATAAGCTCGCCATCCTGTACAACTGGAAGTCTCAACTCCGCGGGTAATTTAATTGATGAAGTGTAATTAATTTACTTACGCCAGCAATTATCATGCCTCGTTAACACATTCCTAAACTGAATTTCCAAACACCGTGGTAAAATATTCTTAATTTTGTTTTAATACAATTAATATAATTAGGATATTTTCTCCAAAAGATTTATGCGCGAAAAAAAGCATTACCCCCGATTAAACATTGTTACTTTTTAATAGATACATAAAAAAAAATACTTTGTTGGATTATAAATGACACTGCAGACGTGCAACGTATCAGTGTAAAATGTATTCTCACGCTCCCTCGACGTGCATCGAATCGTGTGCGTCTTAGAATTACGTTATATTCGTGACAGGCTGCAAAGTCTTCCTTAGGCCAACAGTCAGAACTGGTAAGACAATGCGAATGACACGAGTACAAAGAGTGGGCGTAGCTATCGCGTGTGCAGTTGGTGCAGCCAACTACACGAAAATACACGGGGCACAGAGCCTTAGGTGCCAGGCTCCGATGAGGAAGGGGAAATTGGACAGAGGGCCCCATTCCATATCCGGCGCACCAGCACCCATGCCAACTGAGCTATGCTACCGAGTACTTACGAACAAGACGTTACAAAGAACTATTTTTTATTTGACTATTTTTATTTTACCAGGTAAGGCCTGCTGAGCTGTATAGCTATTTTACAGAAGTGACCTGGCCATAAATAGTACCTCAATGCAGTGGCTATTCATTTGGAAATTTATAGCGGCCAAACACTCTAAACGCATGTTTCTACATGTGGAGGGAAAAACCGGAGGACCCGGAGAAAATCCACGCGACCACGGGGAGAACACGCAAACTCCAAATATACAGGTGTTAGGGTCAGGATCGAACCCACCACCTCCTTCATACCAGGAGAGGCCATTAACATCTCGCCACCGCGACGCCCCACACACAGACACGTGGGCATACAGATACAAATATGTAGATACACACCAACGCTGACACGTGGACACATAGACACATGGGCCAGCTGACACATTAATGCTTGTACACATAATACACGCAGAGATGACGCGGTGCAGGCGAGAAGGACAGCATATCCGAGATGGAACAAGACGAAAGCAAAATTTAACAATGCCATCCGAGTGCCGAATCGACCGGTGGTCCGCGAATCACAACAACCCATTGACTCGTTGGCGTTATGTAACCGTTGAGACGACTGTTGTGTCAAAACGATGACGGGTGCCACGCAAGTCCCAGCCGCGATGTTCGCCGATCGGCCCCGCAGCCTGGCCCTCCGCCCTCCCCTCCGCTCCTCAACCTAGCTGGCCGTCCGAAGCCAATAGTGGAAATTCCACTTTTGGGGCGGGATCCACCCTGTGCGGATGCCGCAGCCTCAGCTGGAAGGTGCGCGCCGTTTAATGGAACGTCGAGGTCTGGCGGTGGGTTGCGTCGACCCCGTTGCTTGGTGTTATTATCATTACGAACGTCAAGAATGCTGTGAATAACACCCACAGCGTGCGAGAGAGAACATTAATCTTGTGTTTATTGCGACGACATAGACAAACATGGCGTGAACACGTTCACGTAATCATGATGAGGCGATGACACGGTCATGAAAGATGTCTTTCCAAAAAAAAAACGAGCATTATAAGTTTTCCTTATTTTTTCGATCAATTTCCCGTGAAAAGCAAATGTACATTGTAAAAACTTTCTGGCTTAAATCCATTGCTTGACTCGGAATAACAAATCAGCAAGGTTGCACAAATAGGATGCCGTTGAGTATCAATGTTTGACAATTGGGACATCCTACGAAGTGGTTATCAAAGTCTGTGGCCTGACATACCTTGATATAGAGACAACAACAACAATTTAAATTTACCTTGCATCTAAAGGCAATTGCAATTCAAGACGCTTTGCAAAAAAATGATAAAAACAAATTAAAAAGCAGCGACATGAGGGTAGAAGGCGGGCAGGAGTGGGGGGTTCAGGGTAGAGAGATGAGAGACACCGCAGTACAGCGTGGGATGGAGAAAGCGAGGCCCAGCAATCAATAACGAGCCCCGGGGACAGCCGGGCCAGCCAGGGCAGCACCGGTGAGACCCGGGAGGCATCCGCAGGGGGGCCCGAAGCTCTTCACCAAACGAGTCCCAGGGCATGCCTGGACGGACTGGTAGAGACATAACAAGTGTCTCTTTACATGGGTCCCTTAACAAGCCATTCACTTGCATTTGGTGTTCCAGAGGTTTTATCGAGGCTCCTCTTCATCTCGCTCCTCCTCACACTGTTCGTTCACAGCAACGTGTCACTGCTTTCTCACTGGAAAATACATTTTCCTCCCCCCGAACGATTATTTCACTCGGGATTTAAGAACGCACCAAGATGTTACATTGTGTGTTCAAAAGCTCCCAGGCACTTACCGGGACCACCAGCTCCAAAGAGCTGAACATGCCTCGTTTAGAGCACAGACTCACAGGGTTGAGGAAATGTGGCCATCCCAGCAACAAGCAACAGTGAAACAAAGACACAGCTATTGACCAGTTTCATCCTCATTAGGACTCAACAGTACAGTCAACGATGTAGTCATCAATGTTCAGTAGCGTGATTAATGACCAATGATGACGGAATTGGCGAGTCCGAACGAGGATGAAACTGGTCTATACTTGCGTCTTTATTTCACTGCTGTCTGGTGGGGTGGCCACATGTTCTTATCCCTGTGACACGGTGGTCTAACCAACAACATGGCGATACAATTAGTTATTTTGAATGAATGGTCTGGACAAGGCTGAGTGCTTTAGTACACGCAATGCTGGACATCTCTGTGTGGTGTTAAGTCGTTTTGCGGTCTGCACTAATGTTTCCGTTGTGATGGGTTTTCTCACCACTTTTATTCTTTCTCTGCGGAAGTCAACGGAAGCCAGGTCTGGTGATTGAATTTCATAAAAATGTCAGATTCCCGCCCCAAACTATTGTGACGATTTCCTTACATTATTCATATTTTTTCCTCCCAATTTTTCATTTACGAACAGACATGAATATAAAAAACACACAAGTTCACCTTAAAATTCACCTTTGTTGCAGCATCACTCCTGCTCATCTGATGGCCTAGTCTGGGATACGTGACACGGGTTCAACAGTAGCACGTTGATGCCTCTTATTGCAGAGGTTAGTGGGTCGAAATCGCAGTGTTAACCAGGGTGTATAACTCGCACACTGCGGGTGTATAACTCGTACAAATACACGCCGTCCACTTCACAATGGACGTAAAAAAAAATCGAGTGATGTATTTCTCAAAGGAGCAGGCCATCGTTGTGCCGGTGTCATGGTCCAAGTTTGAAACGTTACTCGCAAATAACTTAACTGGGAAACGCACAGCAATCGTCGCCAATCCCTAATGTGATAACTTTGGCAGGACCCTCCTTGCCAAGAGAGTCTTGAGACTCAGTGAGACGGAGCAATAATAATTATAAAACGATTCACAGCTCACATGAACACCGATTGCATTGTGTTAAAACGAAAAGGGTGCCGCACCCTTGCCGCTCGTTGCTCTCTGTCAGACACGACGATGACAGCTGACCCAGGGCGGTCAGGATCGAGTGGATACAAAACACGGCACAGGCCTCATCTAACACACACGTGAGGGACCGCGCTGGTGAAGGCCACTGTGGACATGTGGGCGTGCTGACGATTGCTGGGCTGTGCGACCATGCCAGTCACGCACGCGACAGACAATTCAGTTCCTTCAAACTCGTGCTCACGCTCACGATACATCACATCAAATCGTTAAGAATCGATTGTGAGATGGCTGGATGAATCAGAGGCCAGAGTGTTGAGCCGGCACTGCCGAGACGTAGAACCCAGGCTGTGTCTGTCATGCTATTTTTTTTATTTTACCAGGTAAGGCCCACTGAGCTATGTAGCTCTTTTTCCAAAGTGACCCGGCTATCACAAATGATAACTCAACAAAAGCGGCTCATGATGTGGAAATGTATATCAGCCAAATACTCTAAACACATGTTGATTCTAAATGTGTGGGGGAAACCGGAGAACCTGCAGAAAAGTCCACGTGACCACAGGGAGAACGTGCAAACTCCAAATATACAGGGGTCTGGGTCGGGATCGAACCCACGACCTTCTGCATACCAGGCAAGGTAGTTAACAGCTTGCCACCATGTCACTTCATCTGTGATTAAAACTAAATTTTCAATAACAGGCAGTTCATGGTCTCCGCCGTGTCACCAATGACTGCACACACAAAAATACACTGCTTTTGGTGCCTCACTGGCTCAATTCCAGCTGTGGTAATTAAAGATATCGATCTGACTATCATGTGAAGAAAAATGTTTCTTTCTGTTGGCAGAGCAAGTGAGAAAGCACTGCCCCCTAGTGTGGGTAAGCGGTCACTTAAAGAGATTTCAGTGGTTCTATGATATCTGCTTCTGATGACCATTCTTTAACCCAGGATGATGCACTACTCTGTAATAAATTAGAATATATTGCCTCGTCACATGATGCCGATAGCACTATGAGGATAACATTGGAGAAAGCGCAACGGCATTTTAGAAATCAATAAATGGTATTTACAACGTGTTGAAACTACAATAATAACGCTCTTTATTTAGCCACGGAAGCCCCATTGACTCTTAATGTTCCTTTTATTTTACCAGGTTAAGCCCACAGAGCTCTATAGCTCTCTTTCAGAAGCGAGCTGGCTATCAGAAATGATAGCCCAACGAAGTGACTTATCCCATTGAAATTTGCAGCAGCCAAATACTCTAAGCGCATGTTTCTAAATTTGGAGGGATAAACCAGAGGACCCGGAGACAAATCCACGCGACCACGGGGAGAACATGCAAACTCCAAATATACAAGCGTCAGGGTCGGGACCGATCTCACGGCCTCCTGTATACCTGGCGAGGTAATTAATATCTCGCCACCGTGGCAATGTCAGGAGGGCCACTGCATTGAAATGTTTGGCCAATTCCAATAATGACTGTCTGGCATGTGGGAGTACAGTGAAGATACACAGAGAAAACCCACAACAAACATAGGAGATAACAAGCAAAGTTGCACACAGCCATATTTAACAATGTATTCAAGAATCCCCAGCGGTACTGCCAACTCCTCGCCACCTAGCAGTCAATTATACCTTGAGGCTAATGGATAAACTCAACCTATTAAGTCAATAACTCTGTGTGGCCTTAAAATGGAAAAATATATAGGTGACATTTTGGGCAGTGATCCTTCATCGCAGCACATAGAGAGGTCAGCAGAGAGATAGAGTGGATAATGAGGGTTGGAGACGGCAGTTTACACCATGGGGCCAGGTAAGAATTAAATATATAAATAACTGTCGTGTGAATAGTTACCTATTAGTAGCTGTTGAGTAACATACAAAGCTGTATTCACCAAGAAGCATTACTTTAGGTCCATGGAACAAATTAAACAAAGCAGGGCAGACAATACAAAATTAGACAATACAAATAAGACAATTCAGAATGTAATATTAAATCTATTCATGACCCTGCATAGCGAATATTCATTCTCCATTGGGGGTGGTGACTCGTTAACACACCAGCTACCATGTTGAGTGTCATGTTTTGGTCGTGGGCTCTCCACGGCAGTAGTTAGCGCGCTGTGCTCGGAAACCCGGTGACCCGAATTCCATACCTACTCACGACCAACAACTGGTGAATATTTTAACCGGTTTCAGGCCTCGCCTAGGTCGACTCAGCCTCAAATTAGTACCTGGTGCAGTGTGTAAATATCAATATTTGGGATACAAAGGCGGTTGGGCATGGTGCTGGCCACCCACCCCCCCCGTGTTGCGTCGGCCTTCACAGGTGCTTACTAACAGCACTTGCCCCAAAAGTCTATTGAAGGTTACACAGGAGACCTTTGTCTTTGGGCTCTCCAGCACCGAGCCATCTATCAGTCACGCGGCGGCTGTCGTACCTCTTTGAGGCCTTCGTAGCGAGGGGAACGCTCGCCAACCGATCGGCCGCCCCATCCTCCTCTCTCCTCCTCAGGGCTGCACTCTGCCCGCCCCCCCCCACCCCCCCCCCCCCGACTCCTTCTCACTCCCCACTCCGCCCTCCTCCACCACCCGCCCTCCATCTTCTGCCCACATCGTTCCATCGCCGCGGCCGGCCCTTGTCAAGCAGCCGCAACGCCTCCCCAAACTCACGCTTCCCACCCTCCCTCCGCCTCCCCTCTCCGCCTCAGTAGAGCAGCTGCTGCATGCGCTTGAGCTTGCGCTTGTTGGTGGGCAGCGGCTTCTCGTACAGGCCGCTGCGGAGGAGGTGCTCCTTGCTGTGGTGTACGCGGGCGCCGTGCTCTAGCTGGAACGAGCAGAGGCCCCGCAGCGGCCGTAGCAGCGTCTGCGTGCAGCCCACGGGAAGCAGTTCAGGAAAAGGGTTTGCACATACGGCGAGTTGCACTGATGGGAACTGTAACGTCTACTGTGAAGCAGATGGGATTGGTACAGGTGGGGCGTAGGGAAGGGTTGGGAACCTATGGCCCACGATATAATTTGATAAGGTCCCATGGCCACATGATCGTTATGAGGTCACAATAGTCACTTGCTCTCCAGGAGAGGGAACGACCCAGAGGAGCAAGGAGGAACCACAGACGAAGGGGAAAGGCAGCCAATTAGTGATCCAGAGCCAAATCGCTACGCAAGCTCTGCTGTTCTCTATATATTAAGGTGTCATTGTCCAATGACTGAGCTTTCATAAGTGGGAGGAAAACGAAGCACCCAGAAAAAAAACCCACGTGTGCAAGTGGGCAACGCTGTATCCCACACAGACGGAACAGGCGCAGTTCACATTCTTCTGTACAACCTTCTCGTGGTGAGCCAGGATACGGCACCTCCTCGATGCTCAAGGGAAGCGAATTTCACGACATCTGCGCGTGATCCAGAAAAACTGGCTGCCTCCACAGTGCTGGATTACGGGCCACGTGCGGCAACCACCGCCGCCCGGCTGCATCTTAGCAAGCATCGTAGTCGCACTAATCGGGCACCCGAGGGAAATATTTTTGACCTGGCAAAACTGTTTCAAATTTGAGCAGGATTCCTATGGGTGTAAACTGTAGGACCGCAAGGCTCACAATAGGTTCAGTAACCTGTAAAGGTGAGCAATCGTGATACATTTTTTTTATTAGATAACACTACGTTTATGCTTTATTATTCTATTTTTAGCATTGGGATGTTTGGCCAAAACCAGTTACATTGTTTTGGGTTTTAAACCTGTGTGGAAAGGAAGCAGAGAACATGAAACTCACGGGAAACAGGGGGGGGAAATACAGGCTCGATGAAAGGGGGCCCAAGACGGGAATCGAATCCAGGCCCTGGGCTGCTGTCAGACACAAGTGTTACCACTGCGTCACTCCAAGACCACAGAAAGGTGGCCGGACTAAAATCCTAAATGATAAAGACGACGAAATTGCCAACGCGATAGCGCGGGAGAAAAGGCCACGATGGGCCTTCGGAGTCGGGCTTCTCGAGTGACCGTGCGCCAACGTGGATTGAAGCTGCAAAGTCTCCGAGTCTACACGCGGAAAGCAAAAGGGGCTCCGTCACGCACGGCTGTAGGCACACGTTGGAGGCGGGGGGGGGGGGGGTTGGGGGGCGGGAAGGGCTCTCTGGAGCGCGCCGCTCGCGCTCGCTCCGCCGCGGGTCCTCATCAAAGGGAGCTTGATGTAGATTTGGCGGTGCGGCGGACGAACGTTTAAATGGTTAATGTCCCAGTTGAGCTCGGTTGCTCGCGTCCCTCCGCAGTATAACAAACGGACGGCCGAGACGCGCGACAAACACGGGTCACAAATCGAACACGAGTTTAAATTGGGTGTGGGCGGTTTGCAAGGCATGTAGACAGGTAGCAGTGCGCGTACTGCTCTCTGTGTGTGTCATGCGGAGGGGTTATTTGACCGTACTTCACCATGCTGGCTCAGTGCGTGTTGGTGATGGAGGGGAAGCAGACACGGGGAGCATAGAAGTACAGTACGAACGTGTATTCTACCGCACTGACTTGTTCACCACATAGCCCTGCAGCTTATAACATTTCAGAAAACTTAAGCTAAATAAACAGAAAAGTTTAACAATGGATATTCAAAATACCCACAGTGATACGAAGTTCAAAATCCTTTATTTTCAAAGACTATGAAGAGCACTTATATTCATAATGTCTAAGGCACCTCATAGCTTATGGAAGCTGAGCCGAGACATGTTTTTTTTAATCTGTGTTACGCACTACACATGAAGTGGATTTGAATTACATTTTTGGACATGATATGGGAATGTTGAAGCGATCCAAATTACACGGTTTTGTCTTCAGTGTGGGGAATGTTCACCCAGCAACTGTAGGGAAGTTTTTTCGTTTTTTTTTAGGGCCTTGGGTTTTTTTTTTTGCGACCAGCGTAAAGTTTAATCATGTAAAAAAAACGGTGGGACGGGGAGCGGAAGTAACTGGCTAGAAATAGGGATCGCAGTGGTGGCACGGAATCATCTCTTGTCGAGAATTAAGTGTTAGGCTGAACGTAAAACCCACGTCAGAAGAGTTTTAGAGCTGTGGTTCGTATTGATTGACACAGCACATCAACATAGTAAGAATAATTAGCACGGCTGGCTACATCCGGTGCGTAGTAAGTTCAACGTACATATTCAACGGTGCGAAGCAGAGGAGAAACACCGTAGTTTAATAAAAGCTTGGGTGGACAAAGAAAATCCAGCTTTGTTGTTGCCACTCGCCGTGTCTCCTCCTGCTCCTCCCTGGCGTGGCGTTATCGTCACTTGGAGAAGAGACCTCAAAGAGGCTGGCGATGGAACCGCGTCACACGTGTCGGCAGTGGTGTCACACGGCGGGGCCGCCGTGGAGCGTTCGCCGCTCGTTGCACAGGTTCACGGTTCGATTTGAGCAGCTGCCCCTGATTAATAATGCGGCGTAACATCTGTAATTATTATAAACTTATATATTTTTTTTATTTTACCAGGTAAGGCCCGCTGAGCAATATAGGTCTTTTTCAGAAGTGGCCTGGCTCCAAATGATTGCTCAACGAAGTGGCTCATCATGTGGAAATTTACAGCAGCTAATTACTCTAAAAGGGGTGTTGATTCTAAATGTGGAGAGAAACAATGGAGGGACCGGAGAAAAATCCACACGACCACGGGGAGAACATGCCAACTTCAAATATACAGGCGTCAGGGTCAGGATCGAACCCACGACCTCCCGTACGCCAGGCGAGATAGTTAACATCTCGCTTCCGCAGCGCCCCAGTTATGGTCCTTACGCACCGTCTACTTCACAGCGGACATTAAAAGATTCCCTGACATCATTCAAAAAGAGAGGGCCATTGTGTGCCGATGTCGGGATGAACATTTTACCAATCATAAAACTGCACTGCAAGTGACCAAATTGGGGTTATACATAGCAATGATCGCCCATTATTGTCAGACTAATGCCCCAGGTTACGCTTGCAGATGAGAGCAATCTGATCTCTTGAGCTCTCATCTGGTTAAACTATGTAAACTTGAACTTTTGTTCCATTGTTACAAGGTCCTTCAACTATATTTTGCCGCTGGCCACACAATAGAGCGAGTGTGTTCGCGGGCCATGTGATGTCTTTAGTCATGTGTACAGACGTTACGAGGTCACATGACGGCGTGACGTCACTACGCCTGTACATGAGACCGCTAGACTGTGGTACCTCTTGTCTGCGGGTCTCTCATCTCTATTTGTTGTTAAACTCAAAAATAAATTAGCACACGTATCTGTCCCTCCACATAAAAGAGAGAGTATTCTCTTAGACACATCTCATAAGCCAAGGGGCCTTCTGGGAGTGCATAATTTTTGCAGTTATGGTATAACAAAAGCAAAATCAGGACAGGTTGCGACAATTAGAATCTCATCACTTGATGCCAATCAGCAGTTGTGTTGAACAAATGCTGCTTAAATTATGTACTCCCAGAAGGCCGTGTTTTATGTGGAAGGAAAAATGTGGAGAACTGTCCCTTTATTTATTTTGTTACTTATATTCAGGATTTCATCTAAAAAATCTGTATCTCTTTATGTCCCTGCGAGGTACATCTATTGAAGAGCCCTGGTATAGAAAAACACCAACTTAACTTCCAAATCGAACGAGGTGGAACAGCACAGCACAAATAAGGTGGAATGAACAAACGGAACATGACAAAGTAAAGTGTCAATTCTTGTATAGGATCATTAACCCGAATCGTAACAATTTAAAAAATCGCACGGGGAACAAATCACTACAGGTCGAGTGGGCGCCAAAGTGGCGAGATGTTAACTACCTCGCCTGGTATGCAGCAGGTCGTGGGATCAACCCCGATCCTGACACCTGTATATTTGGAGTTTACACGTTCTCCCCGTAGTCGTGTGGATTTTACTCCGGGTCCTCCGCTTCGTCCCTCCACATTTGGAATCAACATGCATTTAGAGTATTTGGCTGCTATGAATTTCGACGCAATAAGCCACTTCGTTGACCTATCATTTGTAGCCAGGTCGCTTCTGAAAAAGAGCTCTCTAGCTCAGTGGGCCTTACCTGGTAAAATCCCAAAAAATTCAAAGTTTAGTTTATAGAGTGCTTTGGGTGGTGGTGCTGGAGGGAGGGGCTGTCGAGGAGTGAGCAGAGGGGGGGGGGGCTTTAGAGAGAAGCCAGGGGGGTCATTAAGATGATCAAGAGAGACCTTCTGGGTGAAGCGAAGGAAGCCCTTTGGCTGAGCCAGGGGAAGCCTTTGTACTGAGCAGGGGGCCCTCGGGGCTCTTAGGTTGGGGGGGGGGCACAGTGAGGACTGTCTGAGGTCCAAACCAGGTTCAATTAAACAACCAAAAACAGGCAAAGGAAAGAGGAAGTGAAACGACTGTACCAGATTGAGCCCCCCCCCCCCCCACCTGACTTGCACTAATAAGAGATCAGTCACTTAGCCCCACTGACGGGGGGGTGGGGGGCAAGTTCCCGTTAGCGAGTGCCTATTGAGACCGGCATGGCACACCTGCGCGACGGTCGTGTCACAAGCAAGACATCTATCTGGCTACCTCTGTCTCCCCACTGCCAGTATTGACAAACACAGGCACTCGTTTAAGGCTGAGTGAACCTAAGGATGCCCAGACTAGGTATAGATCCCATTTGTCATGGCTAGGAATCGAATCCAGGTCACTGAGAATCTTGAACCACAGCCACCGCTCACCACACTTTGGACTAATACAAAGACTCCTCTCGCATAGCCTTAACAGACTGTTAGGGCAAGCGCTGCTATCGTGCCCCTATGGAGGCCGGAACGGCACATGAAAGGGTGGGTGGTCAGCAGCACGCCCGGCCGCTTTTGTCTACCCTGGTACTGATTTTGACACATCGCACTAGGTACTAATTTATGGCTAAGTCAAAACGAGAAGCCCAGGATTCATCCTCAAGTCACCAGGATCACAGCGCAGCACACTAACATATGCATACAAACAAAGATAAATATTTCCAGTTTTCCTTTAGCCGACTTTTGGGGCAAGTGCTGTTAGCGAGCACCTGTGAAGGCCGGAAAGGCACACGAGGAGGTGGGTGGCCAGTACCATGCCCGGCCACTTTCATCTCCCCAGTGGCGATGTTTATACACCACACCAGGTACACATTTCAGGCTGAGTCGACTTAACATAAGCATACGCGCACGCACACACACACACAGGAAAGCACAATCTGAAGGATCTACTTAATAGGCGTGGTGCTTGCCTGCTCGTTATCCAGCCCGTGTTACGGATTTGGTGTTGCCTCTCCTGTCACGTTTTCAAGTAATACCATTCGTTCCTGCAGCGCGCACTCCGACATAAAGGTAATTCGGTCCGGCTTCACGCCACGGTCCAGAACTTTTCAATTTCGGTCTGTTTTGCTTGTTTTGTTTGGCGGCCACTCGACGTTAATTGAGCACCCGTGTCGGGAGGCGAAAAAGGAGGGCGTCGCTGAATTCCATAGTGGGAGTGGAACGGGCCGTCGTCACGGGCGCCAACACCGTCCCATTAGGGCAATTAGCGGGATCAATGGCTGATGACCGTAACAAACGGTGGGTGCCAAGCCGGCGTCCTAGCAGCTCCATTTTGCCAGCATTGATGTTTCTGGCCCGCACAATTTTTCCTCCCACGAATGATTAATTAGCTACAAAAAATTGTTTTGGGGGGGAGGGAAATCAATAAGACGAGCGGGTGGGGGTGGTGTAGGGCCCACTCCTGCTGCGCACGGCCAGTATAGGGCCACAGTTCGACGACTTGGAGCTTTCTTTGAGAATGTATAAGTTTACTTATGCAATAGCTAAGCGGGTGGGTGGTGTAGCAAATGTTATGCCCAAGACTGGGCAGGGAAAGTGGCTTGGCAGCTCCACGCTTCACCACTCATTCAATCACTCACTCACCAGTTAACCAACTCTGAGCTAGTTAACATGCGGCGTGTCTTATATACTCAACTCACTGGCCTAATGGGTAAGTGAAAGGAGAAGCTGTGTAGTTTACACTGGAAGAAGGCCTGTTGGGTTGAAGGTTCAAACTTGATTTCCTTCAAGAGATTAAATAAAATACCCCAAGATTGCCTTTTGTGTGTGTGTGTGTGTTGGAATTGCTTTGCCTTGGGGGGACTGGCCCAGGAGTAGCTGTCTCAGGGACTGGAATTACAAAGCGCTGGGTCACGTGATATGGTTTTGCGAGTCGGGGAGTAACAAGTCGAGGTCGACGGTCGAAGCCACGCACCTCGTGGATGCTGGGGTCACGCTCGAGGGCGGCCAGGGCGAAGGCGGCACACTCCAGCGTCGAGAGGCACGAACCGCGGGGCTGGGAGCGGATCACGTACTGGCTGTCCCTGCTCTCCCGCAACTCCACCTGCCACGGCAGCAACGCAGCCACGACCAAGTCACCATTACCGACGCGCCATGACTATTGACACCAAATATCCCCCCTGCTCTCCCCACCACCCCCCGTACAGCCCTATTAGACTGTTGGGGCAAGTGCTGTCAGCGAGCAGCGCCTATGAAAGCCGACACGGCACACGAGGGGGTGGGGGGTGGCCAGCACCACGCCCGGCCACGTTTGTCTCCCCAGTGGCGATGTTTACACACTGCACCAAGTACTCATATGCGGCTGAGTCGATCTTGGGGAGTCCCTTGACCGGGTCAGACAATCGTCATTGGTGATGGCCGTGAGCGGGAATCGAACTCGTGTCGCCGGGTTCGTAGCGCAGCGCGCTAACCGCTACACTACTGCTACACTCCTATCAACACCACTACCATCACCACCACTGTCACCACCAACAATCATTTGGAGCCAGAATAACAACAAAAAAATCCAGAAAAACGCATGTCAAAAATGTTATAAATTGATTTGCATTTTAATGAGGGAAATAAGTATTTGACACCCCTCGCAATCAGAAAGATTTCTGGCTCCCAGGTGTCTTTTATACAGGTAACGAGCTGAGATTAGGAGCACACTCTTAAAGGGAGTGCTCCTAATCTCAGCTTGTTACCTGTATAAAAGACACCTGTCCACAGAAGCAATCAATCAATCAGATTCCAAACTCTCCACCATGGCCAAGACCAAAGAGCTCTCCAAGGATGTCAGGGACAAGATTGTCGACCTACACAAGGCTGGAATGGGCTACAAGACCATTGCCAAGCAGCTAGGTGAGAAGGTGACAACAGTTGGTGCGATTATTCGCAAATGGAAGAAACACAAAATAACCTGCCAATCTCCCTCGGCCTGGGGCTCCATGCAAAATCTCACCTCGTGGAGTTGCAATGATCATGAGAACGGTGAGGAATCAGCCCAGAACTCAAGGCAGCTGGGACTATAGTCACCAAGAAAACAATTGTAACACACTACGCGTGAAGGACTGAAATCATGCAGCGCCCGCAAGGTCCCACTGCTCAAGAAAGCACATATACATGCCCGTCTGAAGTTTGCCAATGAACATCTGAAAGATTCAGAGGACAACTGGGTGTTAGTGTTGTGGTCAGATGAGACCAAAATGGAGCTCTTTGGCATCAACTCAACTCGCCGTGTTTGGAGGAGGAGGAATGCTGCCTATGACCCCAAGAACACCATCCCCACCGTCAAATATGGAGGTGGAAACATTACGCTTTGGGGGTGTTTTTCTGCTAAGGGGACAGGACAACTTCACCGCATCAAAGGGACGATGGACGGGGCCATGTACCGTCAAATCTTGGGTGAGAACCTCCTTCCCTCAGCCAGGGCATTGAAAATGGGTCGTGGATGGGTATTCCAGCATGACAATGACCCAAAACACACGGCCAAGGCAACAAAGGAGTGGCTCAAGAAGAAGCAGATTAAGGTCCTGGAGTAGCCTTGCCAGTCTCCAGACCTTAATCCCATAGAAAATCTGTGGAGGGAGCTGAAGGTTCGAGTTTCCAAACGTCAGCATCGAAACCTTAATGACTTGGAGAAGATCTGCAAAGAGGAGTGGGACAAAATCCCTCCTGAGATGTGTGCAAACCTGGTGGCCAACTACAAGAAACGTCTGACCTCTGTTATTGCCAACAAGGGTTTTGCCACCAAGTACTAAGTCATGTCTTGCAGAGGGGTCAAATACTTATTTCCCTCATTAAAATGCAAATCAATTTCTAACATTTTTGACATGCGTTTTTCTAGATTTTTGTTGTTATTCTGTCTCTCACTGTTCAAACAAACCTACCATTAAAATTATAGACTGATCATTTCTTTGTCAGTGGGCAAACGTACAAAATCAGCAGGGGATCAAATACTTTTTCCCTCACTGTATAATCTTTAACAGTCACCATTACTCCATTATCATCACCACCATCAAAACTATGGTCTCTATCACCACTGTAATAAATCACCACTAGACACCATGAATGACCGACCATCACTGTCAATACCACTCTGATCACAACCGTTACCACAGCAACACAATCACCACCACGGCCACTGCCAACCAATGACTGACACTACCAACACCCTCACCACCACAGCAATATGATGACCAGTGGTCACCATAACCAATACACCATCACTGTCACCAGTACCAACACTGTCAAAGCAACCACCGTTTATTCTCTACCAGCTCCCCAGAAAACGTCATCCACTTCCCCAGATTTTATTGAGAAGAATACCGCACGATTTCCTCTCTCTTCGTTTTTTTCACTGTTTTTGAAGCAGGAATAAAAAATAAATAAAAGCAGCTGGAAATGTCATCATTTGCAGACGACTTGGAGAGAAGTGAGTGACACCTCCTTATATACATATTTCATGCTCGTGACAGTTTCGATGTATTATATATATAACCGCCCAGATCAACAAATAAAACAAAGATCCTCCCCATAGCCCTTAACACTGTTGGGGCAAGGGCTGTTAGTGAGCACCTTATTAAGCAGCAGCAGGGTACCCCAGGGGGTGGTATGACCAGCAACACACCCGGCCACTTTTTTTTTTAATCCCCAGTGCTGATGTTTACACAGCACCAGGGGAGACAGGTATTCATTTAAGGCTGAGTTGACCTTGGGGAGGCCCAAGACAACGCAGGTCAGGGACTTCCACGGAGAATATTTGCGCGATGTGTGAATCGCAATGTTCATTGTATCATGTCTCACTGTTGTAATAAATTCTCCTACCAATCCTCATATTGCCCATTGCTATCATAATACTCATCAGGATGGTGCATTGGTAACACTTGCGCATCGCAGTAAGAAGGAGTTCGATTCCTTATTCTGGAACCTTTCTGTGTGGAGGTGTACATTCTCTCCCCCCCTGCTCTGTGTGGGTTTCATGTAAGCTCTCTAGTGTCCTCCTAAAAGCTAAAAACATAAAATGCATATGCTGGCGAAACATCCCAATGCAACAGGATCCTCCAGACAGAGTGTGTTCAGACTCAAGCGTGGTTTTCCTGGACAAATTCGTTTCGATTATTATTAATCGCACAAACACTAGCAGAGCATTATATCGCTTTCTCTACCAGCCAGTGCTTGAGCTTCATATGTCAGCAGTTGCATATTTAACGCAAGCAAATGGGACCGTCCACTCGTGCACATCGCCAGCGGCGCAGCGTCGCAAGCAAGGGCCCTAGTGCAGGCAACAAACGGGATGGGCCTGTCTGACTTCCGCTCTTTTCGGCAACCTGTCGCCTGGATCCCTCCGGAACGTAGGCCCCAGTGCAGTTGCAGCGCCTGAATACTCGGCTAAGCCGCTGGACATCGATGAGCGCGCTTCCCGCACTGTCACAAATCTATCTTCCTATTTTACCTTTCATGCCGTCTCGCGACGTGCTGTTTGACAGATTTGCACTCCCTCGCTTTTATATATTATTTTTTTTTCTCCCCAGAAGGCGTTTGTTTGATGGATCCCACACCCCTGTTGTTTGTGTTTTCATAACCTTGTATTCAACGAAAACATTTAATAACGTATTTCTTAGAAAAGCAAGATAAACACGGCATAGGATGTAACAATCATAATTTCTGTCTAGCCCCATTGATGGTTACAAGACTTGTGGCTTACTCTACTAAGGGCAATGCTCTTCACAACAACAATCACGGTTGGTTTATTTATATATATTTTCCCTCAGAGTTTTTGTTCTCTTTTTGCACGTTTGCCTTTTACTGGAAATTCAATAACTTAGTCTGCCTTTAAGAGAAACTCCCCCGCCCGCTCTGCGGGAGATGCCAGCCTTCTCCTACCCAGCACGCCCCAGGGGGTCAGAGAGAGCCACCATCTCCTGGGCCAGGTAGCGTGCAAAGCTTCTCCACATTACTTGGGCACTTCGAAGGGGGGGGGGGGTGTTCCCATTTGTGTCTAATCATGTCCAGCATGTGTTGAACAAGTGAGATTTCTGGCCTAGACTGGTCCAGCGGCTTGGCAAAACACGGAGGGCTTCACTCCCTTCCCCTTGTCTGTTGCCTCCTCTTGCGTTGAAACTGGAGGGACTGCCTCCATTTCAGCCACCACCACTCTGCGTCTAATTCTTCTGACATCTCCCCAGAGGAAATACCTACACAGCTGATTCACCGTCCTCGTCAGAACTATCTGCTGCTCATAAGAAGCATCCCCCCCTCCCCACCCCTCTGTACTTGGTGCATTTATGGCAGGGCTAAGTTCCTCCGCCGAGTGCTACCCTCCCTCAGCCTGTTTATTCCTCGCAGGAGTTTCCCTTTGCTCGGTTCCTGGGCCCTGTTTACCCACTGGTGGAGGGCTGGCCACTGTCCTGAAGCGTCTCGGCTGTCTGCAGCCTATCCCTGGCCCCATCCAGAATGAAGCTCAAATTATTCATTGCCCAGAGGTGGGAAATGCAAAATTACTAGATCTTGGTGATGAAAAAAATGTCTTCAAATAAATTGTCCCTCTGAGGACTACTTTAGCGGCTTAATTACATGCGGTGATTGTCGCCTTAATTACTATGAACGTCCTTGTTGAACTATTTTGGGCATTATAGCGTTTAAAAACAATTTGAGAAGCACTCAATAAACCCCGGGAGCCTGGCCCAGAAAACGAAAACACTAAATAGCAATGGCAGAGCAGGAGGGGTCAAGTGCGTGATGTGCGACCGCCGTATTATCAGCATGGCCAGGACCCTCCTAAAACAGAGTCTCGGGACTCAGTGTGGCTTTGCGAGGTGAACGATCGGAATAATAAAAGGCTGATGAAAATGGCAGCATTTGCAGAAGACCTGCACAAGTGAGTGACACCATTTCATATGCATTTTTCATCCAAGTGACAGTTTCTATTTATTATAAATAACCTATTTATATAAATGTACATATAAATTGTGTGTCTTTCTTATCCCAGTCCGTGATGCCTCCTAGCCCACCATGGCACAATGCAATATCCCCAGTAATCATTCTTTATTATAATTATTAAAT